TTTGTCTCCCCCAGAAGAATTAGTAACATTTCACAGAGCTGATTCCTGCCAGATTGTCAAGAAGACGCTTTCAGCTATACAGAAGGTGCTTTCCTAACCTCCTGTTCTGTTGGCTTTCACATCAGTGACAGAGGTCATGCCTCAGATCACAAGGAAGGCTTAAAAGCTTGTTCCTGAGGTTTAGAAAAAGCCAGAAAGTTTCATTTTGTAATTTTAACAATACTTTCGCAAACTCTCTAATATTCACTTCCTGTCATTGACTCTTTTTCCAAAGAATATCAGAATGTCCTCATTGGGTTTGACCAGAGAATATCCCTAGTCCAGGCTCCTTCACTGACCATGGCCATTAGCAGGTGCCTAGAGAGGGAGTAAGAACAGATAAGTGTGCAGTGCTACTCCAATAGCTTAACAGACAAAGGCTTAGAGACTCATTGACTCTCAGATTTTGGTTTTCTGGTTAACAGCCTTGTGTAGCCTTCGTAACAGCCTTTTTTCTTCCATGAAGGTACCTAACTGAAACATCCTGTAGCAGTTAAGTTCCACAGTTTAAAGAGATGCTGCACAGAAGTGCCTTCTTTTCAACTTTTTTTCAACCTGCCTTCTTCTGGTGTCATTGGATGCTTTTGTTCTTATATGGGAAGAGATTTTTTTCCCTATTCACCATCTTTATTCCATCCATAATTTCAAAGACTTCTATTACCCCTTCTGCCTTTCCACTCCTTTGTTTTCCAGGCAGAAGAGCGCCTGTCAATCTATTCTTGCCCTGTAGTAAAAATGTTCCACTCCTTCAATCATCTTTGTCATCTTTCAGCATAATTTTTCCATACAGAGTACAGTCAAATTCGTCTCACCTAAGACTGCGTCACATAAATGCCCATTTGTAACAACTGGCAAATGAACTTCAAATAACTTCAGAAAGAATGAATTAGTGCGAAAGTTCACATTTAAATTGCCTCACTTTTTTGACACCTGAAGTTTTTCTCCTCCTGTGCTCACACCAGAAACCTGTGAATCCCAACAACCATTCTCTTAGGTGAGACTCAAAGTCATTTTCTTAAGCTTCTGGTGGAGGACCAGCACTCCTCCCAGAAATGTCCTCACTCTCCTCTTTGCTTCTCCCTCAGCTCCTAAACTGCCTTTAGCACAGCTCTGCATAGCAAAATGCATGCAGTACTTCATGCCATTGGAACCACACGCCAGTGAGGACCGAGGAAATCTTAGATACACCAAGAATCTTGATGCTTGCAAAATATACAGTTGTATATACATTTACTAGTAGGCACCTCCTTCCCACAGAAGATTTTTTATGATTAAAGTAAATCTATGATCTACGAAGGTCTGATTCACAGCCAAAGACAAGACTCACATGGACTTTATTGCGCTTTGCATCTGACCCATAAGGAATTACAGAAGGTTTAACCAGATGGTGACACTATAAAACTGTAACACACCTTGCATCTTGCAGCAATAAACCACACCAAAACTAGCACTGACAAGAAAGTAACGCGAAAAAGATGCCTTTGTCACCAGGAGCTAAATTCACCTGTGTTATGCCAGTATCAGCACTTAATGAAACTCTGTCCCCACAGATTATAAAGAAAGCACATACTGCAGTTTTCCAGATCCCCAGTCACATCCCATACTGAACAGAGACAATGACTGTTCAGTTTAAGTGGATCTGTGAGCATGTTTGCAATAAATACTGCAAAAGCCTTAAATTAAACTTTTATTATGCCAGCACTTACTCCACTGATTTACAGTTTGCCTACGATGAAGAATCGGCATGGTTGACTCAAGTAACATCCTCTTACAAGGTTTCACAAAAAGAGGTGAAGAAGATTCTGTAAGGCAAAATAATGAATGGAGAACTGGTGCGTGACAACCTATCCACCTCACTTGTCAGGCAACCGCAACTCAAGGTTTTCCTTAGCATCGGGTCCATGCTTGTACTTACAAAATTTTCTCTGGACAAATTTAATTAAAGCAGATGGCGATGATAGGGAAGGATAGTTTATTTGACAGTTATTATCCAGGGACTTAGCATCCCACAGTACTTTCTAAGCTATTAAGAATGGAAAAGATTTTGAACTAGAAGAGTAGGTCCAAAGTTTACTGAAGTCTAGACCCAAGCTCTCAGCTCACACTTGTCTTTGCACTTACGGAAGAATGATAAATGACATGGGAGTGTCAAATATCAGCAGGGATCTGGTTTTGATATCCACATTATCTATATATCTCTAGAAATTCCCCCCCCACACACACACTATTTATGGGCTTTACTATTTTCTACTAAAAGATACCAAGCACGTAAACTAACAAACTCGGAAGTGCACAAGGATATCAAGTCCATTTCTGTTTAGTTTTAACACAGCTACTCTTCTATAATATGACCAGTAAGGACACTATAATGGATATACATCATCTGTATCAGTAGTCAACTGCACAGCTTAAGAAATGAAAGGCAAATTAACTGAAAGAAGGACTTAGACATGGGAAGGATGTAACAATGCCACTACGGAAGTCACTAGCAGAGCCAGGACTGGGGGCAGATTACGACCCAAGGCTCCAGATTGTTAATTCACCATTGTATTGTAGGTCAACCTACTGCTTGCTGCTAGTCAGGATAAGGCCATTTCACTCAAGTCAGGAAAATTGTCTGGAAATACTATGATTCAAAGAGACAGAATGTAGACAAGAGGGAAGGTATGGCAGAGAGCAGAAAGAGAAAAATGAATGATTAGGCACAGAAGTCTGAATGCAGAGGCAGCCATATGTGCATCAAATATGGAAAAACCAAAACTGAGAACAGTGTTTAAACACAAATAGAGACATGTCACCAAAAGAGATTTTCCTTTAAATAAAAACAGAAGAGAAATAAGTTGTTAAAAGTCTCTTCCAGTGCCTCCATCCTGAAAATTTCAGAATTTAATTTGTATTTTCCCTTTTTTTTATGTTTGAGGTTGGAAAAGTCCAGAATACAATGGCAGTTGTCCCAAACCAAGCCAGGATTTGACATCACTTTCAAATTGACCTACAGTTCATTACTTAGGATCAAAGCCAACACTCCACAGCTTCCACCTCCCTCCGAATCTCTCCATCTATGCTAGCTACCTCTACCTGCCAGCTGCCAATACAGGGACTTTTGCCTCTGACATTTCATTTTCCAGTGGATAAATTAACCTGTAACTAGGTCAGATCTATTCACCTGAATCACAGTCTTTGCTGATTTATTTGAAACGGCAAAGATTTCCCAACATAACCCTCCTGCGCACAAGCTGTATCGCTGTCTACTAGGACTAACATTGGTACAGCTTGTCAGGCATGCTCCTCATTCAAGCATGGCTAAAACTGATGCAGACTTTCCTAGCCAAAATGTTTGGAGCATTTCATTTACATCAGTACAACCCACATTCCCAAAATGTTCAACAAATAAACAAGACTGCCATTACTCAAGATCGCCCCTCTAAAACACTCATTTTGGGGTAAAAGAATACGTTACTGAAACCTACTGAAAAAGCCTTGCAGAGTTGCATTTTGAACTGGCAAAAAGGCAAAAAGCACCTTCATTATTTCTATGTCCAACACCCAGCACAAGCATAGTGCAGAGACTGGCATGTTATTGCGTAAGGTGGTGTAGAGTAGCCCCTCAAAACAGAACAGGGCAATAGGCCTGTATAAGAATCCCCTAGACAGCTGGATAAAATGCTACAGCAGGGACAATCACAGAGGTAAGTCAACAGACACTTCATGCATTTGAGGAAGAACGCTGCACAGTTTGGTCTGCTTTCTACTTACCTTGCTAATATGATATCCTAACTCTAGAGCTTTGCTTCTGTGTTCAAAAAGCTAATTCATACTGGTTCATTATTTGGATGGTTGACTAAACTTTCCAAGCCAAAGTGTACTGAGGCTGTGCTAGTGGGACTACAGAGTTAAGTGCAGGCTTTGGAACTGTCAGCCCTATCCCAGCACCAGAGGAGCCAGCAGGCTTGTCCTGTGTGAAGGCCACAGGCTAGATCAGTCAACACCGTTTCGTAAAGTCTGAGAACAAGATTCCCCTGAGTGCAGATGAGTTGTTTATTTGTATCCCAAAGAAAACTTCTTGTCCCCAAAATGCTGCCCTTGATTACTGCAAAATAGAGACAAAGGGAGCAATAACTGACTCCATCCTTTTTGCCAGTTCATGTACTAACTCCTGAGTGAAAGATACTTGTTACTTATAGGCATCTGTATTACTGTGTGCAATCACATCACAGCCTTCTGATGGACTGGAGCTCTATTAGGATAGTGTTTCTTAGCCACTGGTAAACATGCACAAATTTGCAAGCACGCTTTGTTTTCTATCCTGATCTAAACAGATTGATTCCCTCAGGACTGCCAGGCTTCAGGACTCAAGTTGTCCTTGGCTACAATACTGAGTTTGGAGGATACGTCACATGGTAGTGGGAAAGGGTATTTGTTTTCCCTTGACGACAAACAGTAAAGTTGATCTACTTGCTCCGTAAATGACTTAATGCTACTGAAAGGAGGACAAATAAGCAAAGGAACAAAGATGAGCCTTGTACTCTACACCCAGCCCTTTCATATTTGCTACCAGGCCTGCAACGTGAGGTAGTCTCTGCCCACTGTCTGTCAAAACAGACAGAGAGAGATACAAAACACAGTATTGGAGACTGGCAATGCAGAAAAGGAGATATGTGGTCATATGGCTAAGGAATTTGGCTCAAGTCTTCTGTGGCCTACATAATGCCTTCAACACAAGTCCTTCCTTGCAATCACTTATCACCATGACCAGGTAGTGAGCAGCAACAGCTTGACAGAAAAATGCCAAGAATGTACCTTTTCTCACACCTTAATTCCTGCAGTTCCTACCCAAAATAGCACTCAGCCCAGCAAAGCTCTCTCTGAGTTAGAACAGAGGTTACTTATCGTTGAACAAAGACTCTATTCCAACATAGACAAACCCTTCTTGGAGTCTACAAAACTTGTAGTTCACTTACCTATCCAGAGTGTCCTGTGGCACTTTACTCCCTCCAGCTCTGCTGTTGACACTGGCATTCTTGTTGGCAGTCATGGTCATTTCTGCTTTCTAGAGATCTGGATATCTGCGAGAAGAAAAGCCAATTAAGCTTTGACAGATCCAAATGACAATTAACCTTTCAAGATTGCAGAAGTAACATTTCCAAGATATCATGCTGGGGAAAGGCAGAAGTCTGGACTGCTTTTCAATCTATAAATCTATAAAATTAAATCAGTCTCTGGAAAACTAAACCCTACCTCTCCACTGCTGTGGTTCAAATCTACATCCCAGTTTATCCGAGCCCAATGCTGAAGGGTGAGATTTTATGGGGGACTGGGTATATGGTTCAGATTCTGGCATATCTGATGGAACAGAGCGTGATGCTGAGTTTAAAAAATATCAGAAGTTGGGTGTGGTTCTTTCATCCATAAGTATATATGGAGGACCAATAACTGCACTGTGAATGCTTGCAAATAATATAGCTATGACTGGCATTCTGGTCACACAAAGGCTTTTGCAAGCAATGAAGAAACATTTTTCAATTTTAAAGCGCAGCTCTGAGTAAATTACTCAAATATATTTAAATTGTGAAATATATTGAATATCCTCACAAGTGATCATTTTGAAAACAATAATTTTCAAATCTGTTTGTGATGTGAAAACATCTACAATGTTTTCTAGCCTATTCCTTGATTAGCTATGAAATTCTTTAAATAAAACTACCTTAGGACACTTTTAAGATCTCAAGCAGTATAAAGCATCATTCCTAATTCCTACTTATTTCCCAGCAATACCAGGACATGAGATTTGGTAATGAACCAAAATCTGTAAATTAAATTTCAGCCATAATAAAAGCCATATACATCCAGTTATACTTTCTAGAATTCCCAGTATGAGGTAAGACTAGTGTCTTCCTGACTGCACTAACTCCTGACTGATAGCCTGCTTCAGAAGAGAAATTAAAATGCTGCTAAAAGCTGACAAATATTGTTTGTTCTGCTGCATGCCTGGGAGGCAAAAAGAATACCAGATGCATGGAAGAAAGCCTAAATGGAAATGCAGACAGTATGGAGAAATTCTTGCAAGTGAATTCCCACAACACCTATAAAAACATTAAACAGATACCTTAGATTGATTCTCAAGTGTAAAGATGTTTGGAACCAGGAGAAGTTGAGTAAAAAAACATTCTGGAAAAAAATCTCCCAGATAAGCAAGGAGAGGAAGTGATTGGCAACTCCACCTTTTCAAGATGTCTCATAAATCATACCCCACAAATATGTAAGCAAGGAATGCCAGAGTGGCTAGTTGTGCTCCCAGGAGCCCAAAAGAGGGGCCGTGTTACTTCTGTAACGTTGCTACATACTGGCTGAGAAACAGCTCAGTAGCAAGATTTATTTTGCCCATATCCCGCTGATCTCAATAGGAATTTTGTGCTAAGACTGAAGGGAGAATACAACCACTAAGGGTATGGGCCAGGATGTAATCCCAAGGATGTAAAAAAGGGGTAACCTCTGCTACCGTGCTTCTCTGTTAACTAGACCCCACCTTTCACTGCTACAGAACGTTGCTATTTCCTCTGTCATTGTAAACACTTGAGAAACATTTTGCAAAATGAGGGATAAATGTATTTTTATAAATGCCACAAGAAGATTTCTAATGGGCCAGCAGAGTCCCTCGTGACAGAAGTGGGACAGTACTCATGCCACCTGCTTCTACAAGGGTTATTTATCAAGGCTTCTGTGGCTCGCCTGGCATGCCCCCCAAGTGTTTCCTGAGATGATCCTTAGTTTGTAGACTAAAATAAGTACCTTGGTTTGCAAAACTACCACCCAGGATCTGACCAGAACTATCAATTTTTAGAACCATTAATGCTAGAGTTAAAGCAAAAATAAGGGTTATTACAAAACTTCTTGTTTACCCAAACCCACAGTAAATCCAGACTGCTTGAAAAGCAAACTGCAAAGTGATGTTGAAAACTGAGCTGGGTACTAACAACACATAAAATCCTTGTACAAACAGACCCATCACAGTGAGGAGGACATTCTCTGAATCACTTTATTCCAAATAGTCCTACTGCAAATAAGGTCACAAAAACCTTCTGTGGAATGCAGCTCCAAACGCAGTATCAATCACGCTGACCACAAACGCCAGGTCGACTTGCCGTTTTCTGGTTGTCTTGTGCGTATCAACTTTCTCAGATGGAGTGGAGATTTTATTTTTCCAGTTGGTAACATTTTTTCTACACTAAAGCTCCCCAAATTCCTCCAGTGTCTCAGTGTTATTATTACTGTTACATTATTAAGATAACAGGACTGCAAAGAACTGCCTGTTCAGAGTGGAAAAGGGCTTGCTTGGGAAAAAAAAAAAAATCCTCTGACACTGGCCAAGCTTTCTAGGATTGTACGTTCCACAGGGAACTAGTAGCTTTTGTAATGTTTTCCAGTCACCAGTTCAGTGCCTTTCCTGTGTTAAATCTGTCTTAATCACTAATATAAGGTGAGAAAAACAAGGGAGATAAATGTGGCATACCACAAATGACAACTTCTAGCATGCATACGTTACATCCATTTTGCAACATTCGCTTTTCTACTGAAGACCAAAAAAGGCTGACTGTACCCTCAAAACATGGGATACTGACCTGGCACACACAAAAGAGAGGATATCACAATATAAAAGCACAGTAAGAGTCATTCCATCTTCCACTTCTCCCACATCCAAAACCCAATGGGAAAAAAATTTGCACATATATGCATCAAGGTGTTTGCTTTTGATGGAAGCTTTGCATTTCTGAAATTTCAGTTTCCTAAACACTTGATAAAATCATTGTTTTCAATATAAAAAAAAGTGACTACTTAAACCCCACATTTCAAGGCTACCTTGAATGCTAACAGTTTGTTTTCAGAAAAAGTGGAACCAAGTTCTAAAAGGAAATTTCACAAGATATGTCAAATCTAGTGAAAGAACTGTGTCATACAGCTGAAACGCTGATATATACAGTGATGTCATCTGACTTTTCTATGCAATTTTTCTTTAATGTTTATTTTGCATGAACAATTTACTGTGGGTGATGTTGGTATCGTCTGAACCTATGCAGAGAAAATCCAAATAACTTGAACATGATAGAAAAGAAGTCAGTAAGCATTTTACTGAAGGTCCTGGAAGCACAGTTAATAGCACCCAGTCATTTAGGGGCTTAATAACAACAACGCAAACAAAAACCCCAAAGTAGCAGGAAAAGAGAGGAAAAAAAACTAAACTAAGCTTTGGGGTCGTGTAGCAAGTTATTTCAAGGCCTTTGAACAAGGCTGACAACCCTGTAAGTTCATATGAATCATTGTATGGTAAAAATCACCTCCCATGGGCTTGCATGAGAGCATTCTCCATCACAGTATTTGCATACTATTCTTCACAAAGCAAAGAAAAACAAAATCTCTCAAGTACTGTGACATACTGTTAAAACAAATCCAAAAATAGTCATGTCACAGAGTCTGCATTGCCTAGTTAACCATTTAACTGCAGTTTGTACAGAACATACAGAGTTCCAATTTATTTGTAAATTTAAAGAATGATTCTGAAACCCTTACTCAACTTCAGTCGTGCTGTACTCCACAAGCAGTCTCACTAGTTTCACTGCGACAACTCTCAAAGTGGTCATTTAATGAGCCAGGATGGCAGAATCTGGACCTTATTTGTTATTACATGCTTTGTCTACAACCTCCACACACCATTTGGCAGTAACAAAGGAGTTAAGAAGAGAGACAAATATAAGAGATGGTGCGATGGCAACATGGGATCTGCTGCTAGCACCAGACTGAAATCTGACATCATCCTGACTGAAAATGGTTGCTTCAATGCAGATATTTTCTAAAAGATTTTTATTACCTCAGGAAGCCCTGAAGACAGAATATTCCCTCCGGGCTATCTCCCCCTTCTTAAAGGTCTCCTTCCACTTCCAAAATGGTGAACAAAAGTGTGGCCTGGCACATTCTTACGCACAGAGGGGGCACTAAAAGAGTCATGCCTTGCACTAGTGAACCTGAAGAGCATCATGTTGACAAGTGAGGTGTAAATCCTAAGCTCCTCCTCTACAGTTAAAAATTATTCTTCCTTTCCTAAAGCATCCCAAGACTTCGGAAGCACTGCTCCCAGCTGCACCGCGGTGCAAGTCTTCCCTCAGCCAACTCCTGTTTGCAGGTGGCTCAGGGTTGGAACTTGGCTTGGAGCAAGCAGGTGACAAGTCACTGCAGTCAGGGGTACTTTATTTGTGCCATCTGAGAGTCTCTAAGGTCTCAAGAAGCCTTTCTGCTTTCCTACAAAGACTGTATCCATGAGTTCCTGCATTGCAAGAACTGATTCTCTACTCTCCCACGTAAGGTGAGCATCATCGAGCCTACTTTTTTATGTCTATGCTCAGTCATCTTAAGGGGCACTTCTAAAATGCCTTATAGAAGTCTTGGATCAATAGACGTCTTAGAGAACATACATTCCTAAACTGAATCGTTCCATCTCCACCTCTGTTAGGATAACAGGAATAGAAGAAGACTTTTCAGTTGAAGCTTCTTCAGGTCAGCAAACTTGTATGCTTTCTTTTTCTTTATACCCTGCTCAATATCTCTTCCTATCCATATGGTCCTTTTCCCTGCTTAGACTTAAAAAAGATTCATTGCACTCCATTTTTCTGCATTCATTTCTAACTCATATTTTCATTAAATACACAGTTCCAATAAAAAGTCCTTAAAATACGTTGCAATCCTTCAAAGCCAGCTTTCTGAATATCAAGAACGTTAGCACTGTTTATCTGGCAGCTTAATAAAGAGGAGTCCAGATTCTGCTGCTTATCGGTGAACACTGACCTTGCACAAGCAGAGCTCAATACACACATGCATCTAGCCCTCTCGAGCAGGCATTTGCTGCGACCCAGGCTGCAACACAGAGCCGAAGTTAGGAAGGTGGCAAAGAAGAAAATGTTAGCATTTCTAATAACTTAGGAAGGGGGCCTTTGAGCGTGGGCTCCCAAGTTCTCTCCTGACTTTATCACTAACACAGGTCCAAATCTACAAGGAATATTTGAGAAAGAGAAGAATC